GAATATGTATCATGGTCTGAATCCACATAATTCAATCCTAATAGTGATAACATGCATAAACATGATAAGACTGATCGGGATTGATAGCCAAATGATTGCAAAAGCTAAAACATAGATACTATTGTACAAATATTTTGTAGTGAGTCATAGTGTGTCGCTTGAGGACTAAAAACGAATATAAGTTGAGGATGTTGATATACCGTGGTTTCACGGTATTTTTAATGCTTTTTCCTTATGTTTAGTGTGTGTCCAAAAGCCTTTTTGTATTGATTTTTATGTAAGTTTCTCCTTATTTGCAGGAAATCTGTCCAAAGATGAACGCCGATGTTTTTGAGCAAAGAAATGCTCAAGAGACCACCTACGATGTTTATGACGGTATGTCGAGCCTGTGATGGAATGTAGGTGGCATCGTAGTGAAGCTGCTGAAGAAATATGGTGAAGTTTCACTTAATGTGGGATTACGGAAGTCCACAAAGGGCCGTCATAGCCACGACGGGCCATCGTGCTTATTCGTCGCAATGATCAGAGAGTAGTCCAGTACCCAAATTTCAATAAGTTTAAGTATTATCGAAAGGAGACCTTCGATTGACCATCATGCTTTGAACGGTCCATCATACCTGCCGTTAAGGGTAATGAAGAAAGCAACAGAAGAATTTGTGAAGTATGGAACGATGGAGGCCATGACGGCCCATCGTGACTATGATGGTTCATTGCGAGGTTTGTCAACTCAGACGCATTTTGATAGATTTTAAGTAATTACAATCCTTTTTTTTATTAGGATTTTGTTTCCACTATAAATAGTTCAAAAAAACTCGTTTTGAGGGTTAGACTGTTTAATAATATACCCTTTGATAATAGACCCTTTGATAATAGACTCTTTGATAATAGAGATTGTTAGATTTTTCGATATTCTTTAGTTCTCTTGTTCAAGTATTGGAGGATTCATTTCAGCAATTGTTACACTTTTCTTGGAATTGATTGTTGGTGCTTTTGTTGATTAATCAAGTAAATTTCTGGATTTAATTCTTTCTCATCAAAGTAAGTGCATGAATTCTTATATTAAATATATGAATAATATCATTATGACCATGGGTAACTAAATTCCATCACTAAGGTTGTGGGAACCATGTGTGAATGATGAGGTAAAAATAAATAAAATAGCAATTCTAGAATAGTGTCTTGCATGTATTCATAATTCTTTCGTTTAGAAGCCTTTTTAACAGATGGCTAACGTTAGAACTCGCCTTAATGCTACTTGCTGGACAAAGGAGGTAGATAATAGGAAAATATTTATCAAGATAGATTTAGTGTATACTATCTAATAGGCTAGTGTCGATTGGTACAATGTAATAACTTAGTCAAATATCGAATACAATGCTTAATATGAGGTAAAGGTAAGGGTTAGTATAGCAACACACGTAGCCAGACCAAGGTGCGGAGTGAGATTTTCTAGATGCTGGACCAGATACATAACTTATCACTTTACATGCAAGATACTAGGAAAAAATTGTTATAGTTAGAATTATCAAGTTAGGAACCATTGGGGAACACTTAAGCCATAGTTACTTTAATTGATTGATTAAGCTCTAAGATTTCAATCTGTTAGTTGTCTACTTTAATCTAGTTAATTACTTTCATTAATTTAGAAATGAAACCCCCATTTACTATCTATTGTTTTCTAGGAAATTAATTGACTAAATAATAGTAATAATAGAATAATGTTAAGTCTGAACTATTTTCCTCATGGGAACGATCCCAACCTCATTTGTTGGGTTCTTTACTTGATATGACCACTTTACTTCTTATTTGAGAAGTAAGCTTGAGGGTATCAGGTGTCTCAAGGCTTGAGGGAGAAAACGGTGAGTTTTGATGCTTATTATGGTTTTTTCACTATACACGACATTTAATATTTGAGGTATTATATTGAGAAGTTATGTTGTGATGTAGTCCTAGCATGGTAAGAATTTCTATGGCTAAGTGAAATCTTTTTAGGGATGAATGGTTATGTGCAATCATAGTAGAAAGTTTCGGTGCAGACTTGAGATGTTTTGGACGAATGTGATATATATATATATATATATATATATATATATAGAGAGAGAGAGAGAGAGTAAGAGTTGAAAGTTGCCTTTGTATATGAGTAATGGTTCTTAGTTTTCCTTGTTTTAGATTGGAGTTCTTGTGTAGGCTTGTGAAGTATGATATTTAGTAGGAAAATCCGCATTACTAGTTGATTAATTTCCACATGAACATATCCTAAGATTAGAGAAAGGGAAGAAGGGTTTTTATTTCATAAGTTTTGTATATGTTTTGGTCTAAGGTTGACTTAGAGGGATATATGTACCCCTTAATTCATAGGGAGAAGAAGAGAATTGATGTTTACCAACTTTAAAGAGGTTAGTTTTCTTTTAAGAATGATCTTAAGTGTGGTCATTTGAAAAGAGTGCGTAGATGATACCTAGGCATGGTTGGTTGAAAGATTCCACCAAAAGTGATGATAAGGTTGAAATGGTGTAAGTGTTGACTTGAGAGAAAAAATGGTGAATTTTTTAGGTTTATTTATGACCATAGGTGGTTGAGATGTATACCCCAACTTGAATTCTTATGAGTTTCTTTAAGTGATGGACTTGGAGGAATGGTGGTGCTTTGGTGTTACCTACTGATATTGAATTTGTAAGCTCATTTTTATGAGGGTAAGAGAGAAATCCTCAATAGTGTACAATCATATTATGTGAGGAATATGGAGGTTTAGCCTTGACTTTCCTCAACCTTGGAATTTATGAAGTGATGAATATTTTACCAAGCACATCCGAAGTGGGGATAATGTGCCTAGATTGTAAGGTTTTGAGTGCCTATAATGTTCCAGAATTGAATTTCTTTGAACATATGTATGTTGAGAACCACTGTGAGTTGTGGATATGAAGTATATTTATTTAGATACTCACTTTGGATCTATTGAAATTCTCAACTAATGGAGTGTACTTAAATTTAGTGAGAAAGGGTTCTTCCTTTAGAGTGTAATGAGGTGATGTTTAAAACGTATTTGCTCAAACATTATCCCAACAGGGGGATGTTTTGCTTGCTTAGAAGGGTTGGTAACTAAAGTTTCTATAGGATGATATGAGTTTCTCTTTGATGGGTTTACCCTAAGTGGAGGATGATGAGTTGAGTATTCAGGTTTTGATATCCCTATATTTTCCTTCTATTTATTCAAGCTTGAGGCCAAACAGTTACTAGTAGCTTGTTCATGTTTTGGATCTATCATATGTGTATAAGTTTCATGTTATCCATATGTTATGGATCTCCTAGATGACACTATGTTAAGCATGTTTTGAAAGATTTCTATTACATGAAAAGAGATTTTTGAAAGATTCCATGATTCTCATGTTGTTATGCATCTTAATATGGTGAATGCACATTTGAATTCATGAGATGGTTTAATGAACATGCTTGGTTGTGCTTGCGATCTAAGGGCACTTTTACCCCATATGGAGGTGTTTGGGATTTCTTTAAATGAAAAAAGATAGGTTCCCTGTATGAGTATGTAATTTTATGTTGTTTGGAATTGTTAATATAAACTCACTCTTGAGATGTGATGGTGTATCTAGACAATATTATTGATGTGTGCCTATGATTTGTAATAATTTCTTAAATGATTCATGCTCATGGAAACTAGAGTTATGCCAGAAATTAAAAATTTGTGAAATAAATTCCTAATGTTGTGATGTGTTTGGTGTGATATACCATTTTTACTTCATGATGAAGGGAGTATGATCATATTTTGGTTAAAAGGTGAAAATTTCTCATTTGATCTTCTTGAAATTCTTGGATATGAACTTCATGATGACATGGGAGTATGTAAAGGAGAAGGTAATTTCTCCTTGAACATAACTAAACATGGTGATGCTATGTATGTCCTCGATGGTATAATGTATAAACGGTAAAGATTGTGGTTGGTGTACATTACTCATGATTAATGTATATTTAGTATGAGTTACTTATTTGCCTCGTGAGTTGTAATGTTGAATATGCGTATGTGTGATTTAAAGGTGATTGTATCTTGAGATTTTGATGAGATGAAAATTAAAGGTCATGTCATTATTTGGAGAAGGTAGTTCATCCTATGAACATGGGAAATGCTTATGTGTTTGATGCATTAGGAGTGAATGAATGAAGTTTCTACTTGCTTGTGTTGCATTGAGTGCATAATATATGAATTTGGTGTTCCTTATAAGTTTGGTTGATTGACTACTATGTTGTATTAATATTAAATGTTATGAGTTGCTGATTGGGTCATTGAGTTCTTGAAAGTGATGGAAGTTTTATAAGTGTCATTCGAGAATGAATTTTTCCAAGTGGGGGATAATGTTAATACCATGAAAATGAACTAGGATAAACAATAGCCTCACATATGTTGTATGGGTTAGTAAATTGTTTATAAGGTGTAAAAAACGTGTTATAGTTGGTTTGAATAGGTTTGAGGCCAAACATAAAAGGATGACTAAGACGTACTGAAACTAGTGTTTTCTGTGCTAGTGTGTCCTTATATGTTTTGTCTTGTTTTTATGTGTTTTTTGGAGTATAAAGTCAGTAGGTATTACCCTAATACCTTGAGGGAGACATTATTGTCAAAACATATGGTTACGACTCCACATGGACCAACCTATGGTTCCTTGTTGAGGAACTAACTGTTGGCCAACAACGTGCCCAAGGTAGCAAGAAGTTGTGCATGGCAGAACGAAGTCCGCGTCACAGACTAGGTTCACCATAGGAAAAAAGTATTGGTTCGCATCACGGACTCTACTGTCCCAAAATTTAATACAAGAAATCTTGTGGAGAATAGCTCCTCAACACGGACTTGTTCCTCGGCAATAATTCCAAAAATTAAAGGTACGTTTGACTTATTTAAAAAGGTACAATTAATGTGGGTGGTACTTATGGGGTTTGTTATAAATGGTTTTAATGTAATTTTTACCACCATCCATATATCAAAACACAATTACCCACTGAGAAATCAAAAATCCGAAACCCTCTTCTGTTCCAAAATTCTCTTAAAACTCCATCGGAGGCAAAAAGTAAACCTCAAGCTAGAAGATGGATTTTTAACAACTTATTCTCCAAATTGATGGGTCTTCAATCAATAAGGTATCGTAACCCTTGATCCTTGGATAACATTTCATCCAAGGAGTTCTATCAAAGATTTTCCAATGTGTTTCTATGATCGAATTCTCCACTTTCCAATCTAAACATGGGTTGAGTGTCAAATGGTTTTCATTCATTGTAATGGTAAATTGATGTTTGATCAAGGTTGTAGATTTGATTTTTAATTCAATTCCTTGAAGAAGTTATGATCTCATTAATCTCTAAATTTAGTCTATAACGTCGATTTTGTGATCTAGATTAGATGTTAATGGAATTATTGCTTATATTGTGGTATATTGTTGAACACAATCACTATATTTATTTATTGATTATGAATTTTATTGTTCTACGATTATCATGCATTGGAGAATTAAATTTTCCTACCTTCTAGTCTATAGTGTCTGAATTGACATTGTATGGTTTGTCTAATTATGGTGGCGGTGTTTACTTCTTGTCTACCGATTCATGTTGTGATCATGGCCTTGAGGGCAATCGAAGTAAAGTGAATTGCTATTGCAATGATCATGACTATAAAGTTTATGTGTGTTGTTCTTAATTTTAGTATCATGATTTAGGTGTATTGATGTTAGAGTAAGGTATGGTCTACATGCTTGATTGCAATAAATTTATTGTAGAATGACCCCACCTATATTACCCTATATGAATGTGTGATCTTATTAATGTTAGGAGTTTCCAATTCAAATATAGAATATGCTCTTTTCTCCTATCATGAAATGTTAGTGTGTGGTTCACAGTCCGTAAATGATCTATATTTGTGAGGTCTTCATGACTTCGAGGTATTATAGATGTGTTGTGACCGTTTAAAGGGAGGTTTGTTCAATAAAAATTTTGGTTGTTTTTATGTGATCATAAGAAACTATATGCGCGCACACATACACTCCATGCATAACCATGAGTATGATATGTTTTTGTTGTTAATTGAAAGAATAATTATCATATGAACCTTTATATATTATTATGCATGAAAAGTGTATGCATAAACACGACTATAAATATATAAATGAATAAGATTAATGATATTCTAGTGAAAGAGAGTCTCTCAAAAGAATTACTCAATTGTATTCTAAGCTAGACTATGTTATGAATGTTAGGATTATGTGAAAAGACATTCTCACATTATGTTGATTTTGAAGAAAGGATATTCTTATCATATAACCTATAATCTATGTACATGTTATAAAAGGGGTTAAGACCCTAAGGCCTGTCTTACGAACAAATGTTTAATAAAGACTTAAAGGATCTTCAAAAAGGGAAGTTAGCTTCGCACCGAGTGAACTTGACAATGAGAGGTGTGCTTTCCCAAAATGAAGGTCGGTTCACCCGATATTCTCAAGGGGTGGAACAAATATATATATATATATATATATATATATATATATATATATTATGCATGTATATATATTATGTATGACATTATGGTATTAACATAGTTGTTATAACTAATATGCAAGATGTAGTCTCATTTGATGTGCATGATGATAGTCTTAGTTAGTATGCATGATATTTACTATACTTGTCATGAAGATGTATCAAGTAAATGACAATACTTGTGATATCCTTGTTAGTTTACTTGTTATGTTTGAGGTTATGGGGCTTCACATACACATTTCACTAGTAGAATTAGATTGGGGTTATTTGTAATGGTCTTACTTCGTATTGATGAAATGAACTCTGAATGTGCAACCTTAACTATTATTTCATTATGGTGATATTTATAGTATTGGATTGTATGTTGTCTTGATATGTGTATAAAGACCAAATGGGTTATTATGTAATAAATAAATGAGTTCTTATATGAGGTCTATCAAGTATGTTGGTCTTATGTCTAATGTTCAAAGCATAAGTTATGACTTGTTGAAGATGATGTGCCTAGTCTAAGGTGACTTTATAGAAACACTTGGTGTGAATAGTATTATGGTAAAATACTTGCACGTTGCACTAGTGTGACCTGGAGCTGTCTTAGGTGATAGTTCTTATGTGAAGGTTGTATCTACGATATGCATGTGTGCTTATATATGTATATGCTTGAATTGATGTAGGTTGTATGAATGTTCACCTTGGTGACCTTAAGGAGATAGTTTGGTATGTATGGTGGAATGGGATACTATTCATGCAATACTAAGTATTACTAAAGGGTTGTTTGAGGTAAGGAGTCAAGTTAAAAACGAAATGTAATGTATTGGAGATATTGAATGTGACTTAATTTGATAAATGACTTTATGGGTGGTTGTGAATGGTATCCATGTCTAATATAATGTATGATGATCTATATTATGCTTATTGTATCAAATGCTTATGGTGTTCACTAAATAGATATGATACATGGTTTATAATTAAATGTCCTCTTCAAAATCATGTTTTTGCATGATTATCATACTCAGTGCATTCTTGTACTAATATCGTTCTTTTTCATCTTTTTACACAAGGTGTAGGTGGTGATGACTAAAGTATTTTTCCTAAAATGAAGAGCTTGGATTACTGTTCCCTAGTTCAAGTGTGTCCTTAATGATTCAAGGACCTTCATGTAAAAAGTTCAAATTAAGTTCATGTAATATTATAGAAATATTCTCTTTTATTGTTAAGGGACATGTCCCTATTCTATTGGAATCGTGTCTAAGATTGCAAGCCGAGACTAGTATCCTAACTATGTGCTAATGGTTTTTAAGTGAAGTGATGTTGTAGTCTTTTACTAAGGTATGAAAAAGTTTTAAATTTTCTACTAATTTTATGAAAATGCAATGAATGAATGCTAAGAATATGTATAAGACCTGAGAGAGATCAAGTACATCGTGTTACTTCTACAGGGTAATCTCCTGTCATAAAAAAACATCATCATAAAGAGAGTGGGAAAACATGTCATAAACATAGTTAACATCATCTTAAAATCCTTGAGAACTCATATAAAGATTTCTTGATTAATATGTTTCATAATTCATATTCTTGTTCTTTTTATTATGGGAATAAACCTTAACCGACATGATACCATGTGAGATATATATGGTTCTCCGGTGTTACCCAGACTGAAAAGGGGTGTCCTACTTACCTAAGGTAGAATCATACTTTTCGATTAGGTTGATACACTAGCTAAATAACCTATGGGGGCATATTGTTTATAAGATAAGGAGATCACTACTACATCCCGAACTCAACATGGGTAAAATGTCTTCATCTCATCAGACATACTTTGGGACCTGGACCTAACTAGTGTAAAACGATCCAATTTGGAAGCAAAACTCAACTAGTGTAAAATCATCAATCTCATAATCAATATCGAATTAATGCTAAACATTAATTCCCAAAAATTACAGATTAGGTCGTAACTTGACAAATTAAGATAGCTCATTCGATCATATGTGAGAATAATCTTTCAATGTCCATATCTACATATAGATTCAATAGGGGAGAAAGCCTTCCAACCTTAAAATATTCATATTGTGAGAAAACCTTTCATATCATATCATATTCATGTATACGTTGTATATGAGAATATTTTTTTAACAACACAACAACTACATCATATAGGAACTTCACTCTGACAGTGTTCCTATAACTTTTAGATTGATTCCATAAAAACATGCATAATTCTCAGACTTTACCCCTTCAAGGTTCAAAGATCATATCAAATCTACGCATCTAGAATTCAATACATTAGACATATATATCATCGGAATACAAGTAACCCTAATCACTACATGCTTAATTAAATAACATTCTTCTTTCATTCACAAAGACCCACATTGAATATTATAATTGGGAATTTCATGGGTTATTTGGGATTCATCATAAAAACCATATGAAATATTCAATTTGTACTTAATATAACTTAATTCAAGTAGGATCTTTTTTGAAAGGAACCCATGACATGAACATCAAACCTAACTTTTGGGGATTTCTATCTTTGAAATTGGGATTTTGAAGGGACTCCATGGATGAAAGATATCCATAGATGGAAGACTACCATACCTTGGTAAGAAAGCCCTATGAATTTTGTGTGAAAACCTTCCTTCCTCAACCTTAGCTTCTTCTTCTTCTTCTTCTTCTTCTTCTTCTTCTTCTTCTTCTTCTTCTTCTTCTACTTCTTTATATTCTTTGAGTTTTACTAAGACAATTTTGGGAGAGGATTAACTTTGGGAATTGATTTGGATTTTTTAAATAATGAGTTGAATAGGTTGTTTTTAGAGTATAAATTGCTTATACAGTGACCTAAGTTAAGGAAAAATGACATCACTTAAGTTGGACTAAAATCAAAATGACACAAAACACCCCTCACTTTAAGTGTGCTGGTAGGTCTCACGTGGAGTTAAACCGGATTTATTCCAAAATTGCTCTTTTGTAACTTTTTATTAGAATTTAACTTCTTATATATAAACACTTCCTAAATTTATAGAAGGTTATATTAATTATATGTGATTACTTGATATAATAAAATAAAATATAAAACTTCCTGGCATGTGCATCTTTTAGCTAGGCTACATCTGTAGATTGCAGTCATAGATATAACAAATTTACCCTTAAAGCATTATATGAAAAATCTATTTTTTACCCTTTTTATCAAAAATACATTTTGTTTCTTAATCATATTGAATGGAGTCACTATACATATATAGGGTTCATTTAATAACAGTTTAACCAAAATATATAAGAAAGTGATGATGAAATAAGAAGAACTACTTCAGACAATAAACTTGTTAAATTTATATATTTGAACAGGCACAAAAAATTTTCAATTAATTTAACTTCATTCTTTTGAAGTTCTTGCTTCCAAATAATTATATTTATCAAAAAATTTAATCACTCCATAAGATAAATACATGTATTAATTGTTAAACTAAATTTACACTGCTATTTTTAATGAACCCTATTATAATCGTGGGCCATTAAAATATTTTAAACTTTATTTTAAGTAATAAAATATTGTATTCATAGCCATTTTATGTTTTTAGTAAATAAAATAATTTTATTTGTTTTTTATCATAGTAGTTTACTAGTTGAAGAGTTTTCCCGAATTAAGGTTGGCAGACGCCAAAAAAAACAAATATGTAGGTATCTACCAACCTTGAATCCTTGAACTAGTGTTCACGAAAAAAACACTCTTCAACAAGTGCGCCATTAAAATCATTTATATTTACTAAACGCATTAAATGGGCCAAGCAAATAATATTTCATTACTTAAAAATGAAGTTCATAATATTTTGATGGCCCGTTGTTATATTAGAGTTAATTAAAAAGAACACTATAGATTTAACTTAAAAATTAATACATGTAATTAATTTATGGAACGGTTAAATTTTTTGATAAATATAAATGTTTATGCCACGACCCAACCCACTAAGACGTATAGAGAGTTTAAACCCATGTTTAAAAATGCGTAATTACTATTTCACATGTCTTTAAACCTCTATATAACGAAAAAAGACATTTATAGTAAGTTATGTTATTCATGAGTTGAGAAGCGCCAAGGTAGGTGTTCCTTCTTACTCTCTTCAAGCTTAAGTTGTTTTAGAATTCCACCTCGCATATTTGTAAATTCAGTGTACTGATTCAAGTTGACATGCATCATATCGTAATACAGACACAGGTAACTAGGTCATTCGGCGCAGCGTTGATCTAGTGAAAAGCAAGGAGTCAGTAGCTGAGACTTCATTCATTCTGGAGGACGTATTTATTATTCCTTTATTTATTTTAAGTTTTCAGTTAATAGGATGATTGGTGTAATGTCCCAACACCCCTCTTATTTTTGAGGCTTCATAGACATATAGTGTTAGTTTATTGGTCATTTCATTTCACTTGTAAACGTTTAAGACATGAGTTACAACTTTGGCTAAGTTAATACTTTAAAGTTATTTTCCCCTGAGTTACTTCTCTTGTATTTAAGTCTTCCGTTGAGTTAAGAAAGCTAGGCGAAGGGTTCTGTTAGGCTCAACAATGGTCTTCTAGTGTCGGTCAAGTTGAGGGTGTAGGCTCGGGGCGTGACAAACATGGTATTAGAGCACCGAGTTTTAGAGTCCTAGGAAGTCTATGAAGTCGTGTGTGGAAAATCCTACTCTATATTTAGGAGTCTATAATATTTAGGAATTTCTCACTTCTTCATATTCCTTTTCATTTGCTAGAGTTTATCTCTTAAAAGTTTCCTTCTAATTTGTGTCTATGCTTGTTTAGAGAGGAAATTAGTATAAAAAATGCACCTGAAGTGAAACCAAAAGTATAAGTTACTAATGTTGAGCTTAGAAAGGCAATTAGGGTGTTGAGGCAAGCTGTGACTAATTAGGTTGGTCAACAAAGAGGAGATAAAAAAGAAAGGGCAAACACTTTGAGGATTCTTGAGTTATTGACGATGAATTTCCCGATTTTTACTTGTTAGAGCACTACTGAGGATCCAAGAAACTTCATTGAGGAACCAAAAAAGGTGTTTTAGGTGATGCATGTTGCTGACACCGAGAGAGTTGAGCTAGCGCATATCAACTGAAAGGTGTTTCTAGGACTTGTTTTGATCAGTGGAAGTTCAGTAGCGACGAGGATTCACCACATCCTAGTTTGTCTTGTTTTGAGAAGGCTTTCTTGGGGTGTTTCTTTCCCCGAGAACTGAAAGAGGCTAAGGTACAATAATCCCTCACACTTAAGAAGGATTCTCTAAGTGCTCATGAATATAGGTTGAAATTTACCGAACTATGCCGTTTTGCTCTGGAGATGGTTAAAGACATGAAGAGTAGAATGAGTTTGTTTGTTGTTGGGTTAGGCCGTGAATGAGTTTGTTTGTTGCTTGGTTAGGCCGTCTATCAAGCAAAGACTGTCGGGCAACAATGCTTATTATGGACATGGAAATGGTCTATGTGAAGCAAGTAGAGGAAGATAAGCTTAGGGGAATGAATTTGGGGAACAAAGAGTATAATGCAACCCGATCATCTTTCCAATAGGAATAAAGGGAACTTGCTCCATTATCTGTTAATGCACTTGCACCCATAAATAATGGTGAGTATACTAGAAAAAATTCTCATAACTTTAGATCTAGACTTACACAGTATCAGCGTAGTGTGGCACAAGAAGGTGACTGGGCTCCTTCATGTTCTATGTTTAGTAATACTTACCTTGGAAAGTTTTGTCAGGGCCAGGAAGGTTTCTTCAAGTGTGGACAGGAGGGTAAATTTATGAAATAGTATCCAAAGAACATGCAAATAAATAGCACGGGCGGAGGAAAAAACTACCTATATGCTATCAAAGGTCGCCAAAAGAAAGAGGATTCGTCATACAATGTCACTGGTATAATTCAAGGCTTTGACTTTAGTATTTATGCTTTTCTAAACCCAAGAGATAGTTTATATTTTGTAACTCTATATGATACTATGAATTTTAATTTTACTCCTGATAAACTTACTGAACCATTCAATTTTTCCACACTTTTGGTGACTCCATTCTAGAAGAGAGAGTCTATCGTTATTGTCCCATTTTCATCAATCACAAGAGCTCCATGGCTAATTTAATTAAGTTAGACATGGTACACTTTGATGTCATTCTTGGTGTGGACTGTCTTCATTCTTGTTACTGATACGCTTAAATTATACTTTAGTAAAGAAGTATAAGCGGTCGTATCAAGTAAAGAATCCAATTATTAGGTTGGGGTCGATCCCATAATGAGAATGATTTAGACTTAACTTTAGTCTATGATTGCATCTATTTAGTCAAATCCTTTCCTAAAATACTTAATGAAAAGGAAGGTTTTGTGAAA